TTTTCTGGTGACAAACTAGTTGACACTAGTGACAACTAGTAACGTTTTTTTGAGATCAGCTATGTATTTTTTCTATGCCTTAGCATGAGCTCCGCTCTACCATCCTGATACCATTTTGTGCCATCTTCTCCAGCTTCTCCCGATGATAGTGATCCTGAGAACAATACTTACCGGCATGAGTTCTGCATGCTTCATATTTCGAAGATGTTAACTTAACACAACCATATTCTTTACATGGTATGCGAGTAGGTGAATCCCAGTGAATTGTACACCCCTCAGGTCGATAGCAACCTCGATTACATACTTTCCCACTTTTAAGAATATAAGAACAACAGTAAAATCCCATATCTAAAGTTTTGCTAATACGTTTTTTAAGTAGTATATTTTGTCTAACACCAATTACCTAAAATAATTAATTTTTATTTTGAACTTTTCTCTAACCGCTATTATAGTTTCAAATAATAACGTAATATGACTACCCAAAAATTTCAGAGCGAAGTTTATTGTTCCACAATAGAAAACATTGATCACGCGCCAATGGAATCAGAAGCACCATCTTCTCGACCAGAGAGCCCAGAAAACTCGTAGAATTTCGAGCTGAAGATAGAGGAAGAAAATAACGAGGCGTTCTACCACCGGAGGTTTAAAGCTGAGAGTGTGGCTGAATATAAGTATAAATTCTGCGATGATAGTGTAAAGCCAAGACAATTTCTCGGTACAGATACTGAAGATGGAATAGAAGCTATACTTAGTGAACGGCAAGGGCATTCGTTACATGAAATCATAGATGGTAACGACCCGCTTCGTCCGTTTATTGATTTTGATTTATCTAGAGAAAAATTTGATAAAATTAAACCCAAACTTAAACTTACAGCTAAAGAAATACGGGATTTACTTTATTGTGCCTTTAAAGAAGTGTGTTTAGAAATATATCCAGTTTGGGATCACAAAACATTAACTATTGCTAGTAGTAGTGATGAGAAAAAAATGTCTCTCCATATATCAACTTTTGATATCCGACTCGAAAATATTGCTAAAGTTGTAGTATTTACTGAGCTCATTCGCAAAAAACTTCCAATAGATTTACAAGAAAAAGATATTGTCGATAACATCGCCAACAAAAGCTCATTTTCTTTACGAATACTTAATACCCCGAAGGTAATCGAAATAAAATGTAATGAAAGCGATAAAAAATCATATAAGCATATCCGTCCAAAGAGAGCAATATTTCCAAAAGATAGTTCAGTCTTTGATTTTATGCTTCATCCACCTAACGACGAGGCGCCAGTTATAGATAGTCCTATCTTGGATATTCTGAAGGAAAAAACATTAATCGAAAATAGAAAAATGCCGGAAAAAATTAAAATCGATGCTGGAACAATCGGATTTGAAGTAGAATATATAAAAAAATTACTTGAGGAGTATAAAATCGAAGGTTTTGAAGTTTTATATTCTTCACTGACACTTCCAAATGTATTCCCCCTAAATCACGTAGCAGAATCTCAATGCCCACTCTGTAATCGGGAGCACACTAGTG